TTGATTCTGTTTAGACCGAATGATTAATTGTTTTAGACAGTTATTGCCGCCTCGCTCGTCGTGAATAATTGAAGCTTATATATTTATTGTTATACTGAGAATAATAATCCCCAATACCAAGTACAACACCTACTGTGTGTTTATGTGTTTTCAATTTAGAGCAAAATTTTCACGGTGTGGGGATAGTTTAGCTCTAGTGACTGTCCTTCACCTGTATTTTGTAACCTGGTAAGCCATTGAGAGACTTGCAAAGCATACGAATATACTCTTAGAAACGAATTGTAGCAGTTGCAAAAATTCTAACAAAATTCAAGAAACATGTGCACAATCGTTTAAAACACGCCGTTTTTGGTCAGCCACCAAAATATGCGATAAGCAGAAACTTATTTGCCTATTGTCGTGGACCCTTTCGATGCCTTGACCTGTCTTGGAACAATATTGATTTACATTACAGCGACAACTATCATGACGACGAATCTTTTGCCAATCTCAAGCGCGTTGTCGTCTGTGGCGAATATACACGTTAACTTATAGCATTGCGTTTTTCTACTTATCTCGAAATTCATTATCACGTCTACTTAACTAATTTTCTTCCAACACGGACTGACTCGTTCAATGGAACAGAAAAAAGTAGCATACTATAATTTCGTAGCTGTATCACTATCGCGACCCATGATTTTTGGCACACACTGTTCAACGTGCCCCCAACGGTGCTGGGCGAGATCGCTCTTAAGTACGTCGAGATGGCGCACTCCAAGTTGCCTGTGAGTGCTCTGAGTGCATTTGTGGGCCGCTGTGTCTCACCAGCGAGGTACGTTGCCTTTTGACGAAGGAATATGTGCTTTGGGCCAACCGTGCGCCCAAGAACTCGCACTCGCTGCACTGCGTCATGTATGAAGAGGAGTTCGAACCTACGTGTGTCAGTAAAATTGACGATGACTCGACATAAGTATGATTTCTCTACGAAACAGGAACTTCGGTCAGTCGAAGTTGAGTGGATTTAAGTTCTCTGAGGGCACTACATGCTCCTTACGTCCATGCCGTCAACAAAGCTGTAGTCGCATAAAATGCAGATGTGTTTCATGCAAAGCATGGCTGTGTGCGAGCACTCTTTCGATGTATTACTAGGCAATTCGTCGTTCAATATTCACGACGATTTTCTTAGAAACTTCTATATTTGAACCTCGAATTCCAGAGAAGTAGACATGTAGAGACATGAACGATTGAGTGGGAACCTCCT